TCCCAATTTTTTATTACGGTACAGCAGTCAAAAATGCTCACCACTTTGATATGCGGACTGACGTGTGACTCGCAGTGCATAATGCGGGTGAGTGTAATACTTTTCGGAGGAATTTCAAATTTCCGGTCACTTCTGTTTCGAGGTACTTCTGACCTGCCGGCGCGCAAAGGACAGCTCGGGCTAAGGGGTGAATGAGGAACGCCATTTCCGACTAGTGCGACTAGTAGAGGGCCGGCATCATCATTCTTTGTGCGTTGGGCCCCACAAAACTCGAATCCGACGCCTAAAAATGCGGAAACTTCCAACAGAAAACCTTCGATCGTTCAACCATGTGAACGCTCCTTCGAGTTCAGCCGATACCACAGCCTTCATGATAATGCCTTCATGTTTTCCTATATGTAGGCATGTTTTCCTACAAGTAGGCCACCAACAGTAGGATGGAGTCCAGCATTGCTTCACACGCTAGCAAGTTGCTTGAACTTAGTACTAAAAAGATAGATCAGGAGAAACGCCCAAAGCTTCTGGAAGAGATGCATTGTTTGGCCGAGGAGGAAAAAGGAAAGAAAGAGATCGCTGCTCTGCTTAAAAACGACAAAACAATCGCCTGTTGTACTGTTGCATTTTTACCTGCCGAAATAGCAAAGTGCTATCGGTCGGACCTAATAGGTTGCATTCCTGAGTCATTGAGTGAAACGCATTGCCAGCAGTTAGCTGATTTGATTACAAACATTCGATCATTTCATACCTTTGTCAAAGAAAATGACAAAAAAGACTTCCGTATGGAGTGGTTCGGCAGGCACAAGAATGGGTCGCATCGCATCAACGAAATTGAATCCTTGGTCATATCAATTCAGCTTTGCTTGGCTATACGAGACAGGGTTTCAATGAATGGTTTGTCTAAACTATGGGGAAGGAAGCTCCGTCCCTTGGGAAGGGATAAAAATGCACTAAAGCTACGTTTCACAAACTTTCTAACGCCAAAGGGATTGCATGAGGAGCAACATCATTGGCGCCCGGCCTCTGTAAAGAAAGCGATGATAAGCATCGTCTCCCCAATTAAGAAGATGATGAGTCCAGTGTCCAATGGAAAAAGGTCCAATGGTCAGACACCTGCAACAAGAGAGACCAGTCAACTCTCTGAGAAATCTATATTGGGCAACTCACAAGATGAATCCGTTGAAGCGACGATTTGCCCTGTGGCAGTAGAGAAGATGAATAGTAAGAGTATGTCAATCGGATTCGATGATCTGCAACCACAGAATCTTTACAGGAGAAGAATTGAAGATAGTCCAGAGAAAGGGACGTCGCAGCATCCCATCAAGAAGTCGGTGAAGAAGTCGAAGAAGCGAGGTTTCTCTTCCCCGCAAATAGAGTTCAAGCAAACGCTTAGCCCACTCTCAAAATCGCCAGTGCGGGTCAAAGGAAAACCCAACGGTCAGACGCCAGCAAAACCGTTCAAGATATCTGTATTGGAGACCTCACAAGATGAATCCATCGAACTCGAGGTGTCTCCCCGGCGACTCGTCGATGTGTTAGCTCGTCCAGAGAAAGGGACGTCGCAGCATCCCATCAAGAAGTCGGTGAAGAAGTCGAAGAAGCGAGGTTTCTCTTCCCCGCAAATAGAGTTCAAGCAAACGCTTAGCCCACTCTCAAAATCGCCAGTGCGGGTCAAAGGAAAACCCAACGGTCAGACGCCAGCAAAACCGTTCAAGATATCTGTATTGGAGACCTCACAAGATGAATCCATCGAACTCGAGGTGTCTCCCCGGCGACTCGTCGATGTGTTAGCTCGTCCAGAGAAAGGGACGTCGCAGCATCCCATCAAGAAGTCGGTGAAGAAGTCGAAGAAGCGAGGTTTCTCTTCCCCGCAAATAGAGTTCAAGCAAACGCTTAGCCCACTCTCAAAATCGCCAGTGCGGGTCAAAGGAAAACCCAACGGTCAGACGCCAGCAAAACCGTTCGAGATATCTGTATTGGAGAGCTCACAAGATGAATCCATCGAACTCGAGGTGTCTCCCCGGCGACTCATCGATACATCGCAGCATCCCATCAAGGAGTCAGTAGGGAAGTCGCTCGAGCTATATGTCTTGGAGGACTCACAAGATGAATCCATCGAAATTGTCGATGCGTTACCCATCGTGGAGAGGACGTCTCATATCGACAGTGAGTGGTCCAGGAATTCCAATGAGAGAGGCACAAATGGTAACCCAGCAAAGGTGACCCCAACAAATGAGCTTGATAACAGTTTCAGTTTTGGAAGTCAATACTCAGAAGAGGAAGACGAAGAAGATCCAGTCACGGCAGATTGTCATGGCACTTTACCAACTGAGAATGAGACGGAAATCATCGATTATTCATCAGATGACTCCGCTTTCGTCCCAGATAGTGACTGTTATACTGACGACTCGTCTAACGATGAGCCAAACAATGACTTCGGCGATCATGATGACGACTCCTCTACCGAAGAACCTGATGATGAAGCTGAAGAAGAAGGAAAGTTTCGTCGAAAGATTGATAAACTTGGCTTAGGATCAGCCGTTGACGCAGTATTAGCCACTGGAAGAAAAGCTCGTAAATTCGCTTTCCAGAATCCTAAGGGTGGTCAAGCGACACGTTATTCTCAAATCCCAGTGAGTTCATCAAGGAAAAGGTTTGCCAAAAATGCTAAAGAAACAGAATGGATTCAAAACGTGGTCAATATGTCTGGGAACGAAAACCTCACAGAGACTCAAAAGGCAGCGTATCTGTTTGAAAATCTTCTCAAATTTTATCCCGACCTGTTGGACGTTTCTGCAGAAGAATGCGGGATTCGAGGACTCAACAGAATGCTCCCAATGGACGCACACAAAACACTAGCGATGATGAACGAAGCCAACATGACATACTATACCCTTCGAGTCGTCAAGCGTTACATCTGGGATCATTTCAAAATACGCTTCACAGCTCCTGAGGAAAGGATCAGAGAAATCACAGCTCACCTCGTTGAACCTATCCATGGAACGGTCAAGATTGACGAAACAATAATCACATATTGGTACCGCCCAATCACCGACGTCGTTCTGAACTTGTTTAAACATGAATTCAAAGATCTTGAATTTCATGAATGCAAGGTAATTTTGGGAGGAGATCATGGGGCTGGAGTTTTCCACATGTCCATCAAAGTTGTTCTTTACAGAGAGGATGGAACAATTGCGAGAGAAGCAATCGAAAAAGTAGGCCATATCGATAACGGGAAGGATACCTACCAAGTTTTGAATGAAACCATTATGCAACCACTTGAGGAGTCATTGGCATTGCTGGAGAAATCTGCAATTCGCATCCCAAAAGATTGTACACCTGACGAATACCAGACACTTGTCACTTTCATTCCTCTTACCGAATGCAATTCTTCAAATGATAGTGCTTTCCGAATCATCACTCTCATAGTGGCAGCAACTGGAGATTTGGCATGGGTCAACACAATGCAGGGAAAGGAGAATATGTCATCCAAATGGTGCCCTTATTGCGATCTTCACCCAAACGAGTTCAAAAATATCGACCATAATCCAGGCAACCTATGGACTCTCGAAAGCATGGCGCGGACTCGAAATTTCATTGCATCGGGAGTATACCCAGCCAAGGACAAGGCTCGACTTCAGAAGGGATGCACACGTGCTCCGCTCTCCAAGGTCTTGCAGCCACAACGTTACAAGCCTCCGGTCCTTCACGTCATGATGGGAGGGTTCAATTTTGCGATTAAAGGATTATACGATTACGCTGATGCACGACATGAAAAAGTTCCAGAGAAGGAGCGTAAGAAAAGGATCGAATACTTTGATGCCATGGACATTCTGGATAGCTTAGAAGAGGAATTCAAATCCCTTGAAGATCCAGAGAGAATAAAACACAAGAGAAAAGAATGCATTTCACAGAAGAAGAAATTTCAAGATTTAAAGAAAGAACTCAAAAAAATGGAAGGCGAACGACCATTAGCCAAACGAAGAATCCGCAATTTATTCGATCAAGTTCTAAAGGACTGTGGCATCGATCGTGGTGCAAGTCATGGGGGAGACTTCACTGGCGTTGGATGTATTCAATTGGAGAATCGAATGGACGAAATCATTGACAAATTTAAAGCAATTCTACTGAGGGAGGGAAATAAGAACAAGGAGGAAATCGAAGAAGTGTTAGAAGCCTATAGGTACCACTTTCGAATTCTATCCCACATGTTCTCTCTTGCCCGAACCCCCAAGAGCGATTTCCTTGTACCTGCGAAGAAGACCCACATCCTGACTGAGTTGGCGAAGGCTGCTCGGTTTGGTGATTTATCGACTCAGCGCTTGGGGCTTTCCATGACGACCCCAAAGCGTCATTTGTTCAGTGCTCATGCTGTCGCTATGATTGATAAGGATAATGGCATTGCAGATTGTAACGAAGATTGGGTGGAAAGACAACATCAGATGCGGAAAAAAGTCACCAGCACATACAAGACTAGGAACCTCGTGAAGCTTGCTAGGTATGAGATTCGACAGGACGGGATTAACAACAACCAACGCATCAAAGAAATTCAGAAAGGAGTTTCTGAAAGAGCTTCAAGGAAAGGCTTTAGAGCGAAAGCTTTGAGGGAAAAGCAGATAGCACAAGCTAAAAGGCATGGCCTGCGGCAAAAGGCAATTGATGAATTTCCGCAGCAGTTAGAAGAAAACCCAACTCTTAAATCCCTCAAGGATCGGAGTATATTGGACAGACTAAGACCACTTGAGAACAGAACAGAATTTCAAGAGTAGAACGTAAACTACTATGTTAACAAAATATATCTATACTCCTTGGAGAATAGCCCTCAGTCGAATGCATAGACTTGAATACACTTCCCTCGGCATTTTCAATGTCAGTCTCTCACATGCTTGTCTATCAAATACTCCATCGAGCCTCACCTTTCCACCACGGAAGTTTCCTCGCAGCGATCGAAACAGTGTAAAATCTATAGAGACTACACTGGTGAGGTCGATAATCAAAGCAGGATCGGCGGGAGTCGCATTCTCTTCGTTGTCGTAGATTCTCATCTCTGTACCCTCCAATTCCACTGTTCCATGACAGATAAAATGATACCCTTCATTCGCAAAAAGGCCTTCATCAGTCTGTGTGCACCGTAGCACATATGGTACTTTGTAGCGTTCCATTTGTATTCGGAAAAAGATTGATCGATGAACGGAAAATAAAAATGAGCGCGCTTCACTCATCATCGATCCGTGATATTGGATTACAACTGGTGGGAGTTGCCCACCAATGTGAATGTATTATTCAAGCATTGGCAGAAGATTCGCTCCCTCCGGCTGCAACCAATATAATGCACGATGCGCAGACCAGGGAAACAACTCCGTTCAGTTGGAGTACCATCCCAGCCAGTGGGAGATGCTGAGCTGTCGCAAAAAGATCCGTTCAGTCGGAGTGTACCTTCATTGAACCCGCAATCAATACCATTTCTCCCATTATTTCGAATATCATTCCAAGAAAATGAAAATGGACACCTCTTTTTTAATCGCCTTCTTGAAGGCTTCCGAAAACATCCAAGATGGCCAAGTGATGTTGATTGGAAAGGCGAACGCCGATAGCAAAGCAGATTCGGACAACTGGCTCATAAAAGTTATTCAATCCGACTTTAGGGAAGCATCGAAAGTTTTAGAAGTACAGTTACATTCAAAAGATGGACGTACTTTACCAAAACATGATCCCAACGATGCTGGCCTCGAAAAATTGATTGTTACTCGGTACCAGTTGTTTTGTTTCTGTGCGGTGAACGCGCGGTAGTAATGCATTTTCATTTTATACTGAAAAAAACAGGTTGCGTCTCTTCCGACTCAACCGAATACTGTCTTGTTATTTTTTCGCGCCGGCCCGTAAAAGCACATTTTGCTGGGAACGAAACAGAAGTGGGCGCGTGCAGACATTTTTACGTGGTAATGGCCGTGACTACAGTCACCGCTGACGCCAGCATCTATGTAAGTACTTTATAATACACCATCTTGCAGGAATACCGGTACGGCGGCAAAAATTCGGTGCTATGACCTTGCACGTAAAACTATTTGGCGGAGCGACCGAAGGTCGCGAGGCCCATGATCAGATGCACCAAAGTAACCCGGATATACAAGATGATGGATGACACTCCAAAATCATTATCCAAATCATTCACGACCATACAGTAGCTACTTGTTTTCACAAGCTTCCTCATAGCGAACGACAAATGAAACTGAGGACGGGAGACAAAGAATAGATTGATGATGACAGCTGCCGGAGGCAGTTGGCAATTTTGATGTGTTTTTCTTGTAATCCAACGAGGTGAAACCACAGTGCTGGCGAGCCTTGTTACCCAAAACCGAGCCATCAAATGAAGAAGAAGACAAGATATGAACTGAAGCAGAGGAAGAAACATACGTTTCGCCAACAATCTACCGCTGTGGGGGCTGAAACGAACAAGGTGGATACTACTGGAGTCGGTGTTGCGCGCAAGGGGAATAATATTGTCTTGCTATCTCCTTGCTCATTGGCTTCGAAGATCGGCATGAGCGCTGCCGTCCACTGTGCAGACTAAAAGAAATGAGAATATCTGAGATTTCCAGACGACGAAGCGGATGGAGGCAAACTCTTGCCAGCAAATGGAATGCGGATGTTTTGTGAATCTTCTATTTGGCTTGCAAATCAGCATGGGCACTGCCTGTCATCAACTGAGCAGAGTGAAAGAAATCAGAACTGGGGAGCTTTCAGGCGAATTATGTGAGATACCAAGAATGCACAACATATGAAGGAACTTGCGACTGTAGCTGATGCAATACAAGGTTTCAGTGGTAGCAGCAGCAATTGCTTGGCGACAATTCTCCAATGATTGATACCTACAAGCCAGCATGCTTCCTCAAAATGGCGCTCAAAGATGATACATGGAAGAGTACTGTGGAATGTGACAACCCGCCTGGCAAATCAAATATGACGAAAACCTACAGATCATGGCTGAATGTTTGGTGTGCATTGTTGCTTGTTGCACCGTGACCAGGAATAAGAATGACCAGGTTTCCAGTTGTATCTAGGCAACAACCTCCTCCCATGACATCCACAACAAGGTAGAATACAATATATTAACATTCGACTACAAAATTCGATCTAATTCTAAGCCAGTGTAGAGTTGAATTGTCATTGTGGTGAGGTTTGGCTATTTGAATATCGTCGTCTGCACTTCGATCGTCCAATTCATGTTTAGCGTGAAAGTACTTTGATAGGTCCAAATCCACGCTAAACATTCACGCTAAACAAGGTCACAGCACCGCACCGTTGCCGGTACGGCTTGCAGAAAATTGATTTTATGCTGGCGTCAGCAAGAACGAATGAAATGTGTTTCTTCCATTTTCTTCGTAATACATCATTCGCTTTCTCCTCCTGTCATGTTGACTAGCATATCATCAAACCTGTCAAGACACTTTGCAGTGCCTCGACTACTGTCGGTCGCAACCCTAAAGAATAGGCGCTTCATGAGTACTGATCCTCTAGCTCCATCATCTTTTTCTAATGAGAAAATGGGTTCTGATAAGTCGGAGGAGAGGAGTGACAAGTCCTTCTCAATAAGAGGTCAATTTAGAGAAGGAAAGCCCGCATATCTTGATACGAGCTCAACCACGCCATTAGACCCCCGCGTTCTCGACAAAATGGCGCCATTCATGGTAAGTTGATGGCTAGCTACACGGTTCTTGTGTCTATGAATAGATGCCTCATCGATTCTCACTCATTTATTTGTAGATTGGTTCGTATGGCAATCCACACAGTCGTACCCATTCATTTGGATGGGAGGCAGAATCTGCTGTAGAGACTGCAAGAGAGCAGGTTGCGAGCTTGATTGGAGCTCAAGGCAAAGAAATAATCTTCACTAGTGGCGCAACCGAGAGTAACAATCTTTCCATCAAAGGGGCAGCCCATTTCTACAAAAAGAGAGGAAAACATGTGATCACAACGCAAACAGAACACAAGTGTGTTTTAGATTCGTGCAGATCCTTGGAAATGGAAGGATATGATGTTACGTACCTTCCGGTGCAAAAGTCGACTGGTCGAGTGGATATGGATGAACTGCAATCAGCAATTCGAGACGATACTGTGTTGATTAGTGTCATGGCGGTTAACAACGAAATCGGTACATTGCAGCCCCTCGAGGTCATAGGTGCACTTTGCCGAGACAAAAAGATTGTCTTCCATTGCGATGCAGGTAACAATTCCAGCGCTAGCTGTATTTGATTGTTGGTAACGATATGTCCACACTGGTCTGACTCTTTGCCTCTCTTGATTTCGGTGCAGCACAAATGGTCGGGAAGTTACCTATCGACGTTGATAAGATGAAGATTGATTTGATGAGCATGTCCTCTCACAAAATCTATGGTCCAAAAGGAATTGGAGCTCTCTACGTCCGAAGAAGGCCCAGAGTGCGTCTGGAACCAATTTTTTCTGGTGGTGGTCAAGAACGTGGCCTTCGTTCTGGAACACTTCCACACTTCCTCTGTGTTGGTTTCGGTGCTGCTTGCGACCTTGCTCAAAAGGAATTTGACTATGATCACGAGTGGGTGACATACTTGTCAAACAAACTGCAAAGAGGAATTGAAGAGAACATACCAGAAGTCGTTCGCAATGGAGATGCCGATCACAACTACCCGGGGTGTTTGAATTACAGTTTTGCGTACGTTGAAGGCGAGAGCTTGTTGATGGCTTTGAAAAATATTGCAGTAAGCTCTGGCTCTGCCTGTACCTCTGCCTCCTTGGAGCCTAGCTATGTTCTGCGTGCGCTGGGTGTTGATGATGAACTTGCACATAGTAGTTTGCGATTTGGAGTTGGGAGATTTACTTCTGAAGAAGAAGTTGACTTCGTCTTGGACTTGCTTCAAAAGCACGTTGAACGGTTGCGGGAAATGAGCCCATTGTGGGAAATGGTTCAGGAAGGTATCGACCTCAAAGCAATTCAATGGACACAGGATGCCCACCATTAGTGTTTTCTGTTGATTCGATTTGAAATGCGATGATGATACTAATATACAAATTTCTTTTACTAAAACTATACTAGAACACTTGCACCATAGGAAAAGTCTTCTTTCAGTGGAGCAATTCTGTTTGCTGTTCCCATCAAGACAGATATCCGATCAGCTGGATGAAAGTAGGGTCCCTCAATCGAAGATTCGTCGGATTCAAAGGACCGGGACAAGGAGATGAAACCGTCTGAGACGTGCACTGTTTCTGATGGACCAACATCTGCATGTACCGATTTTGAAGAGTGCTGTATTATTAAGGAATCTTCGTAAGGATCGGAGCCATAATTGTGTTCATCACGAAACGAATCGAGAGTTGGGGGTTCTGGATATTTTCTTCGACGAACCATTACAATATACACCGTCGACGAGATTGCAAAAATTGTTGTAAGTACAAGAAGTGCAATTGTTCCTCCAGGGATCGATCCATTCGTCACCTCTTCTTCTGTGGGATTGCTATTCCAGTCAACATTGCTTGTAGGCAAAAATGGGCCAGACCAAATAGGTGCTGCCATAGGTTCAACTACCTCTTCCATTTCGCCGAGTTTCAATGATATCAAGCGACCCTTGACATCAGCAAAGTACAAGAATTGGCCGGACGAAGAAAGATCAAAGTCTGAACGCACAGAATTGGAGCAGTCTTCTTCGAACTGGTCACAGCTTCCTTGCCAAAGATAGTCACCGGTGATTTGATCGAGGCAAAAGATTCTACCGTCTGCTGATTGCACCACGTATAGCCTTTTATCATCTGCTGATATCCTAGCCTCGGACAAGAACGCAGATGTACCAGAAACTGCCCAGTTTGCTTTCCCGTTGCGAGTGTTGATGCAAGCCAGGTCATAAGACGAAGAGGAGACGAATAGTCGATTCTCATCCATGGATAGAATAGGATTTGAGGGTATGGCTGTGTTTCAACAAAGTTTCAGTAAGATAAAGTGTTAAACTTCCATTCAAGACATGGTGACTTACGGGCTTTGGGGTCAAGATTATCCTTGAAGAGTTGTGAGGACCAGTCTGCAGTTTGGTCGAAACGAGAATCCCCGATCCAACCCCTTAATTGATTTCCAGTGACTCCAAAAAACATCTTTTTCCCATTTTTGCTGATTGCAGGCTTGGCCATAGCATTCCAACTAACACTCTTCAAGACCTTGGTTTGAAGGGAATTTAGATAGAGAGGTTCTTCCTCAAAATCACTCGGTAGCTGAAATATGTATGTGTTCCCCACTGTACCTCGCCCATCTGCATCGTTACTTGCCCATATCACGATTCCATTTGTGTTATCCTTTCCTCCTGCATACATTCCACGTAATGGGTTTGATGCCATTGAAGGCGGCGCGTATCCCTTGGGGGAATCATCCAGTAACCATTCTGCCTCTTCCCATATCACTGTGCCTTTCGACGGATTTAGTAGTGTTATGTGGCCAGTGTGTGTTGTCGTATTACGAATTCCCGAGACTCTGCTATTGTGAATCAAAACGATGTACATGGATGTTGCGGATCGAAGTTGATCCCCATAGACAAGTGGTGTTCCGCTTGGTATTCCGGGTAACTCAATAGATGTCCACATGATTTTGTGTGATGGTATTGATACAGCAACCACACGGCTGAAGAGCACGAGAGGTCAGACAGCAAATAGAAAATGCATTCAAGGAAGTGCAAACACGACGTACGCTTTTGGCTTGAAATCTATACCAGGCAAATCTGGGGGTTCGTCGACGATAGAATAAACCAGAAAGTTGTTGCCAGACCGTGTAGTTGCAAATGAAATGCCCGACGTACAGTGTATTAACCACTGTTGGGCTTTGCCGTCTTCGATTACGCGTGATATCGGTGTTGGATTCACAGTTGCTATAATATCACCGTCCTTGGAACTCAATGCGATCAAAGTGCCGCTGTATGTTGTGACATATACAATGCTGTCTTCAAAAGGGCTTGTCACGACACCATTGCCAAAATCCATTCTTTCGTCGAGACGAACCATCCAATCAAGTTCTGGCTGTGGAAAGTAAACCAGTTCTTGGTTTGTCAAGCGGCGTGATTGTTGTTCTTTTTGTTGTTGTTTATGAGTCGTTTGATCTATTTTCAGAGAGCGCTGTCTCTTCTGCAGTTTCGCTTCCTCGGGTAACGCAATCGAAACAGATAGTGCACATGAAAGAAACATTCTGAATCGGAAAGATATTCCTATGTAGGCTATTCTAGCATTCATGGCTTTGTTGTTTTTGCGATTGCATTGATGTTGACTGCATTGGTGTAAAGAAAAAGGGAAGGATTGATTCATTCAAAGGATTATTGTACAGTACGATACATGTGCCAGCCTGCATGCTCGCTCGCAATACTTGCAGTCGATGGGGATGGCTCAAAAGTGGAGTTGTTTGGGGGACGGACGAACAAGGACGTCGCAGTAACAAAAGCTTCGGAAAAACTACTGTAGAGGGGAATATTCAAGATTCCTTTTTCAATCCGCCCTCCCCTAGTTATAAATGTTTTTCAGTTCGTCAAGCGTCTATCAACGGCTACGTCAGCTCGTTTGTCCTTCGCTCGGATTGGGAGGGGTATGTAGAAGATAGTAGAGATGGCGGTAATGGGTGTAATGAGTGGCTATTTACTGAAGCCCACTCCACGTGCCAAAGTGCCGACCGTTTGATGGAAGGTCGGCCCAGAGGGTGGGTGTGGTGGGAAACTTTTTCTATTCTATGCCTAGTCAACGTTGACGTGTCTTACAACTTCGATCCTGATGCGTTAGGAAGGAGAAAAGACAAGAATATGCGATCGCTGTTGTTGAGGACTCGCTGCGGGATCTCTGCTGCGCGCACCGCGCTCGTTCAATAGTCACTTTGTTCTTCGCTCCGTCCACCTCCCCCACTACGACGTCTATCAACGGCTACGTCAGCTCGTTTGTCCTTCGCTCGGATTGGGAGGGGTATGTAGAAGATAGTAGAGATGGCGGTAATGGTGTAATGAGTGGCTATTTACTGAAGCCCACTCCACGTGCCAAAGTGCCGACCGTTTGATGGAAGGTCGGCCCGCCATCGCCGCCAATGGCCCACGTTGGTGGTGTCGGGGTGGTGGTGGGAAAGGATGGAATCAGTACATTGGGACAAGGTTCTGGCCAGGATGAATAGCGTATTCGCCGCCTTGAAGCATCATGGAGGCGAAGCCTTGCATAACTGGTTGGGCTTGGACATGGAGGTAGCGAAGCATGGCGTCGCTTTTCCAGCGTCCAATGAGTTGGATGGTGTCGCGATCGACGTTGGAGCAGAAAAGGGCCATGGCACCGCCCGCGCGAAGGGAGCGGGCGCTGACGTCGGAAGGAAGGAAACCGAGGTCGGCGCCGCAGGCGGCTGTAGCTTGGCGTAATGTAGTGGTGATGTCGGCCGATTTTACGGAGTAATGGCGGCCGTTTTGGAAATAGGTTGCAATGATGGTGTGCATGTTTGCAGTATGTTGTCGGAGATGGAGGATACGGCGGATCATGGAGCGGACGGGGCAGAGGACATCATGGCCGCTCCGACCGTGACAGATGACTTCGCCACGGACACCATTCTTTTGCGTGGTGAATGTAAGGGCAACACTGGTGGCAGCCCATAATTCAGCAGGTGTGGTAGTGAGAAGGTCAAGGTGGCGTACGCCGACTTTGAGCTGAACATCAAGGAACCGGAAAGGTGTGTCATCGTTTGTGGTGCCTGTGTATTCGCCAGGGCGGAGGAGAAAAAAGAAAGCCACGATGATCATGTCAGAAATGGCCTGAACTTTGCAAGGTTGATTTCGACTTTGGTTGGCGATATACTTAATGATACCGACTGGGATGGGTTTCACCCGATGAGGCGGTGGGTCCTCTCGGGTGTAGGCCTTGAACATCCGAGTCAGGCGGAAGTCAATGGAACCCGTGCTGTCTTTCCGAGCATCCCTGGCCCCCATGCTGGCCATCGTCTGGCCCACCGAGCGTATGGCGTTCGAAACCGTGCCAGATCGGACGCATTCACCGGGGTACTTTCCTGGTCGACGGCGGTAGCGTGTGGCAAAGACTTGGAGAAATTGAACGGGATCAGGGACGCGGAGGAGGGGGTCGAGTCCAAGTTCTTCACAGAACTTGGTCCAAAGCTCCCAGTGCGCGTCAGCAGTATCTTGAGTTCCTCGAACGACACCCTTTCGTACTGTTTGCTGGTTAATATCGAGATCACGGCGGAAAGAATCGGCAGACGAACGCGGTGCAGCTCCCAGCAATTCATCTGTGGATATGTAGAGTTAAAATAAGCGAGGAACGCAGCGTCAGAGAGGTGCCACAGGCGTGACGTGTTGTCACTCATTTTATTCAGGAGTCCTGGGAGATAGTCGTGGAACGGTACATAGCGGAACATCCGTTGATGGTGGGACTGGAGGCGAAGCAGGGTGGCAGGCGGTCCTGTCGTAGTGGTGGAGCCCTTGCGCTGCCAAAATTGGGCAGCTGTGTTGTCGTGGAAGCTGTGGATGGTGTGCTCCCGAGCATCGGCAGCAGTAGTGATGACATCGTGGTGGCACACCGTGGCAGACAGTTCCAAGTCGCCAATGCTCAACGATCCCCGTGGATTGTCGAAGGTTATCAATTGTGATTGGACATGCTTGGGGTAGCGATGCCGCCAGAGTATGGGTCGCAGACCAGAGGGAGTATTGAGAAAAGCAATGCCGCCCATCCCCGTCCCTGAAGCGTCTGTAGTTCCAATAACACTCGGATCTTGAGGAACGAGTTCGGCTATCCTGGTGGGACGGTTACCAAGGGTTGTGGACAGCTGACGGAAATCGTCCAGGAATTGGTGAACCATGGCATTCAGGTGAAGACGATGGTCCGGGGTTTTGGTCCGAAAGGCTTCTTGAAGTGGGCTAAACAGGCCGCGTGCACCTGGGATTCCAATCACCATGGATCGCAATTCACCCAGCAAACGATGCCAGTTCTTGGCACTGGTGCGCTTCTTTGTGGGGCCAATGCCGGCCAGGATGGTTTGCAGCCGTTCAATTCGATGTGGCGGAAGGCTGATGGTTTTGTCAACGGAATCCAGGAGCCATCCGAGTACCACTTTCTTGGTAGACCAGCTGGCGTCGCCCCACTGTGGACGAAAGTTACAGGGGAGCGGGAGTTTTTATGGGATTATTTACCTGACCCCCGTAACCGCACAAATTTGAACATCGTACCAGTCCACCTCACGGAGCTAGGATATTTACCAGGTTTCATGGTTTTTTACGGGAAATAGCAGTAAAAACAGGGATTTTTCCCGGAATTAAGGAATCTTCCTTGTAAAAATTCCTAAAACCCCGTAACAACAAGTATCCCTGGACTCCCGTAAAAACCCATGTACCCTGTAAATCAATATTCAAATCATAATGATGAGAGCCAGCATGTGCAAATGACTGTAATACCTCAGTTTTAAAAACGAAGTTTACTTGCACCAATAGCATTCTTGCTTTTGGGGTGTAGCGCAATATACGAAGGGGATCGATAAATCAATACAAAGAAATAATAAAGGATATCTATAGTCTGCTCTCTCATTATAATAGGCTCTTGCGGCATTTGGAGATGAATATACGGTAAGAGACGGCTTTTGCTCGATTGCATATCTGTTCTGCGCAGATTTCAGTTTTCGCCTTCAAATAAAGAACATACCCGAATACATCGTCGAAACCCTCGATGTGATACCACGCCGCAAATGTCAATGTAAACACACACCACTACATATCTCTTCTCTTCTTGATCCATCACCGCACTCCCTGGCGGAAATTTTTGAATGTTTCCAATATTCGTCTGCCTTGGCTGAAATATATTATTGGCCATTTTGCCATTTACATTCACTATGTTCCCAGAATTCAACAATGATGTTAGAAAAATATGAATAATGGTCTCGCACCAGAAGACAAAGTTTGTTCTTACCCACTATATACATCTCGAACTGCATGGCTTGCCTTTATTGGAGTCGGTCTGAGATCATTCCGCAATTTTTAGTTTCTTGCAATTTTGTAATGATCGTCATGTAAAACACATCATCTAGGTACGCACCATATCCTTTGGGAACAAATTGAATAGCATCTTTCCATCACATTCTGCCCCGGTCCTTATTACGGCCTATAAGGACAATACACTGCAGCCACAGCTAAATAATCTCAACGGGCACATGATCTGGTATGATGAACATTACATCTTCGATCAGACCGTTCTCGTCAGATAATCACTGTATCAAACCATGGTTATTCACTCATCCTCTACCATTGAGCACGGACGAGTCCACAATATCATCAAGCTCTGTCCTCGCTTTTCGATATCGTCTCTTATTTTGTTGTTGTCTTCAGGCGAATGGCTCTTCCAACTGCCGGATTTTTGCTCGTAGTCAAGAATTTTGAACTGTACCTGTTCGTACTGGATATTGTACGAATAATTGCCTAGAATAATACATACCGCAGCATTGAACACTAATAAAGTTCCCACCAAATCTCACCAAATATGGAGCCAGCCTTGCCTATTTCAAACAAGATCGGAAAGCCTGCCAATCAGAAAATGCTTGGCGTGTCTTCTCCAGCTTGTGACAAGTCAAACATCGTGAAAACACAAGTCCAGCGATTTTTAGAGGGAAACGTAGCGCAGTTACCCTGTATATGAAAAACATGCATGAGGATATTCGCAGTCGCTAATTCAATGATAGCAGTAAGAAAAAGGAGAGGGGAAAGATAATAGTAATCAATGGTCTAGACTAGAGCTTATTCAGTTTCCTTCATCTATTCGTCAAGTAAATTTGTCTTGATAAATTTGTGTTTTGAATTCACAGTCGTAACTAAATGTCTTGATGTCACCGTCGTAACCCAATAACACGGATGAAGCGGAAGAGAGTTCTCTGCTATCCTAGTTGAATCCAAAGGTTCTGTTTCGAGAAGTGTTCGTAGAGGGCGACCCGATCCATCGTTTCGGTGGGCTGGATGATTGGATCTCATCGGAAGGGACACCATCCATGGTATTTCCCGTGGTCTTGCGAAGTGCAGTCTCCGGAGACTCCTAGATCATCACCACCACTACATCCATCGGATTACAATAACGCATCATCGATTCATCCTCATAGTGTGCATCATGCCATAATGACGCTCATTGGCAGATCGGAAAAACAATGATGGATCACAACAAATGACCAAATGACGAGAACAACTTTTAAAATTGAACTTTATCAAATACCGCGCGTGACTATTCAGGTCTACATAATATATAGAAAGTAAGCCTGAATCCAAGCTGTTTTGATGAGTACAATATTAGTGTTCAATGCTGCGGTATGTATAATCCGCAGCGGGGGAGGTGGACGGAGCGAAGAACAGATCGTAGTGGGGGAGGTGGACGGAGCGAAGAACAAAGTGTCGGGGGGTCCAGAAAAACCTCGGTTGCTCCGCCAAAAAGTTTTACGTGCAAAAAACGTGCGAAAAACGCGCAAGGGCCGAATCCGTTGACCGTGAGTATTGGCCTAAAAGAGCACCGAATTTTCGCAGATTACTCTGACTTCCTATCATCCGGTATGAAACGAACTCTATGGATTGCAACGAGTCCACCTCGGGTGTGAAGAGTCGAATCTGAGAAGCATGGGTAATAGTAGTAACATAGAAAAATCTTTCTACACAAAGCTTGTAATGTTACTAGAACTACAGAAAGCGGGGAGTCGTTTACAAGAGGTCCTTCTCGAAGGCCAATTCTTCTTCATCAGTATCAAGAGGCTCGCCATTCTTGATCTTGGCCTTAACCTTTTTAACAAGTGCCTTCTCTTCCTTCTTCGAAAGCTTCTTCTTTCCTTGCTTAATTTCAACCTTGTTTCCAGCAGCATCTGTCATTTCTTGTAGTTGTTGCTGATCGTCGATCTTGGTATCTTGCTTCAACATCCAATCAGCATCACCCTTGGTTTCAAGGTGTCCGGCGTCCATAACCCAAGTCTCCGGGCACAATTTGGAGACGAATTCGTTGTTGTGGGAGATGATGATAATGCCACCATCGAATTCCTCGATGGCACCGGCAAGGGCACCCAAACTCTCTCGATCCAAATAGTTGGTAGGCTCATCCAAAATAACGATGTGAGGTTGCATCCACATGGCAGCGGCAAGAACGACCTTGACCTTTTGACCTCCAGAAAGAGCAGACATACGGTAGTGCGTGCCGAACTCACGGGCAAGTCCACATCCCTCAAGATGCTCTTCAACGTTCTTGGTAGACAATGGGCGGACATACATACCAGCGAGCTGGGCAAGCTTGAGATCAACTGCTTTGCAGGCTTTTTCCCATCCCATCTTCTTCAAAGTCTTTGCAGGAAGGTATTCGCCGCTGTCGGTGGTGGAGCCAGAGTATTTGACTTCGTATTCGTACTCCTTGCTCTTGTTAAGTTTACGGCCTCCAACAAGTTCGGCGACAACTTTCTTGATCTTCTGGATCTTCCCAGAAGCTTCGTCAATAATTTGAAGCTCGAAAGGCTTCTTTTGCGACGCCAATTCGGCTTCGGTAAACTGCATTGTCACCTTAACAAGACTCTCCTTGTCCTCTCCACCATTGGCAAATCGCCAACGGATGTATTCATTAGGGGTCTTGTTCAAGTGTTGTTCAATGTGGTGGAAAGCGTGTTGCGCCACGTAGGCAATGCGGGCGTTAGGGTGCTTCCAAACGTCTCCAACTTGAGGTGCGATTTCTCCAACAAGAAGCTTGATCATTGTCGATTTTCCGGCTCCGTTCTCTCCAATACAGGCGACACGGGAGCTCAAGGAAACCTGGACTGTGATATTGAAAAGTGTTGGGCTCTCGTTTCCAGGGTAGGTGAAAGTACAGTTTCCCATCTTCATCAAAGCTTTACCCTTCGACTTAACACCCTCAATAGGACCAGGTTGGGGGAACTTGAACTTCATCTTGGACGATGAGAGCGAGAAGTAGGAACGCGCAGCAGGGTTGACCTTGACGTATTCATCGAGATTACCCTTGAAAGTGTGGAGCTTCAAGTTATCGAAAGACATCATGTGGGTACAGCAGTCATTCAGAAGACCAGAATCGTGACTGACGATGATGGCTGTCACGTCAGTCAAAGAGTTGAGGTATGTCTTGACCCAAGCAACATTGATAACATCTGAAAACGAAAACGAAATGTAAGGAAAGGCATCCACATGCGACATTCAGACGAATGAAAATCATCACCTACCAAGGTGGTTTGTTGGCTCATCAAGCAACAAGATATCGGCTTGCTGAAGCATGGCACGAGCCAAAGCAAGCTTCATACGCCATCCTCCACTCAGAGTGGACACAGCGTGGTCAGGCTTGGCCTTACCGTCAGCAGTAAAGCCGACAGTTCCAAGAACTTCACGAATCCTTGCCATGTCAACCCCCATAGCTTGCAATTTCTCATCAGCAGCAACGTATTCGACGCAAGAAAGATGGGATTGTTCACCTTGAATATCAGCTTCGACGAAAACAGTTCGAACTTGAGTGACATCAGGGAATCCCTCAACTTGGTTTTTAGCGATGGCTCTCATCAAAGTGGTCTTTCCACAGTCATTTGGTCCAAGAAGACCGTAATTTTTTCCGCGAAGCAGCTTCATCTTGGTGTTGTGAAGAAGAATTTTGGTACCGTAAGCAAGAGTGAATTGGCAGTTACACAACTCTTCAGCATCGTCTTCGTCATCTTCGTCGTCTGGGATTTCAAGCATTTTCTCAGCTTCAACACGAACAGCTTCAATAGCCTTGGCAAGATCATCCTTGAAGTAAGATGACAAGACGGGGGAAAGGTTCTTCTCCCACTGAAGATCCTCCATGAATTTCAAGTCCATCAAACAAGAAGCAATTACGCATGCATAATCAATAACCGCTTGCTTTCCACCAGTGGCGTCTTCGGCCTTCAATTCCTTCTTCAATATACCATCTAGCTTGGAAACGTCTCCGCGGACTGAAGCTTGCTTCTCGGCAAGTCCCTTCAATCGGTTGAGTTGGACAACCGCACGTTGAGTAACTTCACGAGCTTCTGGGTCGGCGATACTCTCAGCGTTGGTCTCAAGAGCAGGGAGCAAAAGGGGAAGGAAAGGGGCCGCGCCAATCGGATCGTCCACAAGCTTACTCATGTTGTCAATGATAACAGCGGCTTGACGTTTGGTAGCTGTAGTCTTTTCACGAAGACCACGAAGGAGAAGGGGCACAACCATGGCAAGGGCGGGTGATTCGACGCTTTGTACAAACGTAACTCCGGCCATTTTGTGCATAATTTCAGGAACCTCCTTTGGCTTGGTGATGGCAGTAAGAATCTTGCCAGTCATGTGTTCGATGTCCTTGTTTCCAATGACATCCAGAGAAGATTTCATAGCGTTGGTGGCGGCGACCTTAACTTGCTTCTTCGTATCCCACATACAAGCAGTAACCTCAGGGACGATAAGAGGAAGAGCATCTCCCAATTGGCGGGGAGCTTTGTCCTTGAATCGAAGGATACATTCAAGAGCAGACTCTCTGATCGCCCACTTCTTCTCAACAGGGAGCTCAGCAAAGATTGTTGGTAGAAGGGACTTCATGGCGAAAGGTTGAACATTGTCGACGATGGCGAAAGCGGTCTCCTTCGAGGCCTTTTTGACGTTGACATTCTTGTGAATAGCGTTCTCAAGACAAGCCCCAAGGCATTCTTTCGTGAATACTTGAGCTTCTGGAACACCCTCCGCCAAAGCCTTGACAGTTGCCAAAGCAGAAAGTGCCTCTGCTTCGTCGTTGGATGCGCATTTTGCAGAAAGGACGGAAATATTGGCGGCCAAACCAGACTTTTCAACGCCTTCAGCCTTGACGGTATCGACAACCGAAGAGGCGTCGTCAATTGTGAGACTTGCAAATTTTGCTTCAAGAGACATTTTGTGGGCTTTGCAGGTTCTGTGGTGTTGCAGTAATATGTGAGTCGTAAAGTGAGAAAACACAGAAATTCTCGCAAATGCTTTTTAATTCGACGGTCTAAGACTACACTCTCGACTGCTGCCCGGTGCTCCAACAATGGCTGATGGATCCAATAAAGTTCGGCAGAGATGTTCGATGTCGTCACTTTTCCTTACCTGAGTTCAAGGACCCCAAAAAATGTGCTTGGAGTGGTTTTGATGTCTCGGTTTCTGTGGTACTATTCGGTGGTCCTGGGCCACGCACGTATGAATAAAAATGACAGAGCAATAGGTGGATTATGCAGGACTCTGTAGAAGAAGACAGCAGCCCTCTGTCTAGTCGAACTCATCTACGTCCACACACTACGGACACGTACGTGTAAAGGATCATCACCGACCAACGCGACTAAATGTTTTAACCAGTGACTACAGAGTAAAAATTCCAGACTCACACTACGATCGCTCTCAATTACTCTCATAACCTATTGATTAAATGAATGGCACTGAACGTGTAACATTTCAAGTCGAAGGAATCATCATCTCTGTACACGTACTGTGAGTGTGGTGCTGTACCGGTAGAGTTCCACAGTCCTTACTGTATGTACACTACAGTAAGTTCTGCTCTGTTAGTCAGACTGATCGGCTATATTGATTCCTAGGCAAGGGCAAATGTTCGTCCTGGCGAACAAAATTTGCGTGTGGAGAGCCTGGAGCCTCTTTGCTGAATACTTCTAGTTATTGGCAGTAGAGGAAGCGATCAGAAACACTATTGAATCTCTGCCCGAGCATTGAACGGTGGAGGAGACTAGGTTATCGGAAAGGACTCGTCCGATGCACTCCACTGGTGTGAATAAAACTTCTCAAAAGCCCGGGTGATTCCAAGTAGGCAAACTGTTTCAGTTGGCTTGCAACTCATCTGATCGAGTCGAGTCTGATAGGCTCGTAGGAATAGAAGACTCCTTCATTTTGATCGAGGTTTTATGTCGTTATGAGACTGTGCTACGGGGTGCTGTTGCTGCTTACGGAGATTTGCATATCTGTAATGACATGATCGATGTGCTCACAGGCAATCAAAACGTAGCTAGTGGCGTGAATGGCGTTTACATGCTGTAGCCATGGTTTCCGCAAACAACCCATCTCGTTGAAGATTTGTCACTTTTAGCACCCATCTGATTTCGTTGCTTTGACAGGAAGAGATACTTCCGGAAAAATGGATGGAACCCAACGGTTGCTGTGAAATCGAAGCTTTGGCGAGCTCCATGGGATCGTGATGAGGCTGGAGACGGAGGATCATGCTATGCAAAGTTTGGGATGTGATGGCGAGACCGCGATTGACTCTTCAGCAATTCGCGTAATGCCGAACACCAGAGAACGGTGCTATAGCTTCCATGTAGGACCTACAAGAGGAAATAAGAATATGTTGTGTACGGCCATTGGAGACAGCCTATGTATTTATCAAGCAGCGGAATCCGAGCTTCAGTTCCTAGCTGTTCGGCAGGAGACTCCACAACGCCCAAGATGCTTTGACTGGGCTCTGCCAGTGCCAAAGAGATTGATATATCTAATCCAACTATCAAATAACACTGGTAAATGCTAGTGTTTGACTGCCTTGTCTTTGGCAAAGTTGCAATAGACGTCACGCATATAAAACAAAAATTCTATACTCCGTTATTATCATTCAAGAAAGCTGCAGTTTCTCCAGGAACTTCGCCAACCATATCCACATGATCGTCGCCATCTTGGTGCATAGATGCATCTCTCAATCCAGCATGCACCAATACAAGGAATCCCGAGGAGCAAAGTGCATACCAGAAAATACCCCGTAGCAAAAAGAAAAGAGTGAGGCCACTAAAAATAACCAATGCTGTTGTTGCCTGGTTCTGGCTGATATTTTTTCCTGCGATGACAAGAGTTCCTTTTTGCGTTTGTTGAATGACGTAGACCCAAAGAGCACCAAGAAGACCAATCCCGATAATGGCAGACGGACTAATTAGAAGGGTCAAGCAGAAAAGAAGAGCAGTCAAGATCATGTAGTTCAGGTAAAAGAAAGTGAAATTGTGCTTTACGCGAGCGATAAGCAGCGCTGGCGACTTTTCGACGTAGAAAGGCCGCTCCTCACCAATGCCAAAGCAAACTGTGACACTACGCAAGCGCTGGCGGTTGAAAAGCTCGCCAGTGGTTGCAGATAAATAGTCTTTGGTTCCTTGGGGAACTGATGCTGCAACTCGATTCATGGCGTCATTCGCACCGGAAGAATCCCATTTTTCCTTGCTGTTGAGTGAAGAGAAATTCAAGACATCGAAAGGTTGAGATTTTTCGATCGTCACCGCCATTTCATACTCATAGATACTCACGCAGTGTTCATAACACCCATCAGCGTACCAAGGGTCGAACCAGGTGCTGATCCGGATGTATTGTTGACTGCCATTGTATCTGTTTCTGTTGGGCGAAGACCACTTCGCGGTTTTATGCTACAGTATAGAGATCTGCTGCAGTCACGGAAGAACAATTGTTTGAAAATTTACCCCCATAATGACCCAGACGAAGGGGCCGAAGCCCCCAAAAAACCATGAAAAAAGTCATTAAAGCTATAACAGTACCTGTTTACGTCACACACATCATTGGTTGCATTGTTGAAACCAAAAAGAAGAAGAATAAGAGACAAGAAAGATGAGAGTTGTGCTCTTGAGTTCCCTTCTTTTGTGCCTTGGTCAAGCCTTGACCGTAATGCCACCGCTATCAGGGATAGGTTCAACAGCTGAACACCTTCCCCTTGCGCAAAAAGCAATGAACTACTTTGATAGTTCGTCCGATCCATTTTTTGCAGTCCAGACTTCAATTGATATGCTTCTTGAAGCTGGATTTGAAGAATTGGACGACATGAAACCTTACAGCGGAAGAGTTGTCCCAGGCGGAAGGTACTTTTACACAAGAAACAAGAGTACTATTGTAGCTTTTGCTGTTGGTGAAGACTATAAACCTGGTCATGGAGGCTTCAAGGTTATTGGTGGGCATACCGATTCACCAAACTTGCGGGTCAAGCCCAGATCCAAAAGAAACGCGAAAGGAACCCAAACGGTCCAAATTGGAGTCGAATGTTATGGTGGTGGGCTCTGGCATACCTGGTGAGTTTTTTTCTGGATCATTTCCGTTTCTTGTTTGCCTGCAATTTTTTTAAACTATCAACATCGGACTACAGGTTCGATAGGGATCTTGGGATTTGTGGCCGAGTTTTTGTGAGATCCCAAAGTGGTTCAATCCAACAAAAGCTTGTGAAGATCGATAGAGCAATACTGCGTGTTTCCAATCTTGCTATTCATCTTCAGAATGCAGAGGAGAGGAAAGGTTTTAGTCCGAACAAGGAGGACCACCTCAGTCCTATTCTAGCTACAGCTGCTACTAAAAGCTTGTCCCAAACCGAAGGCTCCGATGACACTGCAGGAGAATCGGAGGGAACAGCAAATGTCGAAGAAGGAAAGGAAGGAACAACAAAAGACGGGTGGACGGAGTATCAAGAGCCACTCTTAATCTCTCTTTTGGCAAGTGAGCTCCACTTGAACAACACTGACATTGTGGACTTCGAATTATCTCTTTTTGACATCCAAAAGGCTGCTTTAGGAGGGGTGCACTCTGGTAAGCATTTCGTTTCGAATTGTGTGAACTGTTGGACACTGCTCATGTCAACTTTCAGAGTTTGTTCATTCTGCCAGGTTGGATAATCTTGCGAGCTGCTTTCTTGCTGTGCAAGCATTGGTTGAATGCGTTGATGACGAGGATATTTTGGTCGGGGACAAAGATATCAACATGGTGGTACTCTACGATCACGAGGAGGTTGGAAGTAGCTCGGCGTGAGTCAATCAATCTTTGTTGCTTATATATTGTATAATTTTGATGACCGCTGCTTTACTGACTGACTCGTACTCTCTTGCATTCTGCAACACCTTTTCCAATCACCAGTGTCGGGGCAGCGGGGCCAATCTTGAACGAGGCTGTTGACCGCATTTCTGCAGCTTTGAGTGAGGACGGAAATGCCTCAGCGGATGAGCGTGACGCAACAATCCATCGCTCGTTTGTTCTCAGTAGCGATCAAGCACACGCCTTGCACCCGAACTATGCAAGCAAACATGAAAAGAGTCATCAGGTAAGCTTGCAATCGTATATTTCGACTTCAGTTGATACCGCTGTCCTCACACGAACTGTATGGACATACTGCAGCCACGAATGAACGGTGGTATGGTGATCAAGCGAAACGCAAACCAACGGTACTCTACCAATGGTGTAACCGGTCTCGTCATGCGAGAAGTTGCAAGACGAGCATCGTTGCCCCCTCTCCAGGAATTCATCGTGAGGCAAGACTGTGGATGCGGATCTACCATTGGACCATTGATCAGTACGGCAACAGGGATTCGAGCAATTGATATGGGATGCCCTCAATTATCGATGCATTCCATTCGAGAAACTATGGGTACTTGCGATTGTAAGAATTTCATGTGTATGCTTCTGCTACTTGCGTCTATCCTCACCTTTTGCATAGTGACAAACGGATTGAAACTTTTCAAATCATTCTTTCAGTATTTTCGTGAAGTGGACGAATCTGTTGATCAATAAATCAAACCAAGTCAAAAGGATTCTCGTATTTCATACCGGGAATGAATCGCAATCGCTGCAGAATAGGAGGGAACAGAATTAGTCGTTTCTTGCCGAGAGCGAGCCTACAGTACTGTACAGTACTGGATGTTCTAAGTAAAGAAACGTTACATACCGATAGCTGGTACTTTACCAGCACACAGTACATTTTTGCTCAATCTAACGGTAACTGTAGAATACCAACGTTTCAAGCCAGCCGAGTTTATCGTTGGCGGCCTTAGCTCGCCAATCTCGGAAAGGATCACAAATTGTGCAAACAGTGTGCATTCGAAACAAATCTGCATCAAAGGCAGAGCAGCAAGAAACAATGAGATACACAAGCCTTGCCCTTGCAGCGATATTGTTGGGAGATGTAGTGTTGGGAAAAAGCGTCGTTAGAAAATCTCCTCGCCTCAAAAGGGAGATAGGTGGTGCAAACGGACTTGCAAGAACAACTACGAGAGATGATAGTATCAGTGAGAGAGATCTGATGGGTCTGAAGTTCAGCGACCTCTCATTCTGGTCTATATATACTCAAAATGAGGTAGGAAGTGTACCTACCCTCTCTCCAGCACCCACCCCCTCTCTACCCCCCACCAAGCCTCCAACAAAAGCACCCACAGAGGAACCTACGGTGGCCCCGGTGGCCGGACCAACAACTCCAGCGCCAACGGGAATCCCATCAAAGGTGCCAACGAGAAATCCAACAACGAGTCCATCGCAGCTACCTACCAATCGCCCTTCCAGATCTCCTACCGAAAGACCATCGACTTCGCCGAGTTTTGCACCAGTCACCGTCCCAACAACGGAATCGCCAACCAAGACACCCACTCAGGAGCCTACAGTCGCACCGACAACAAAGGCACCCACAAAGTCGCCCACAACTTCTCCTAGCACTCTTCCATCGTCTTTTCCGACCAGAAATCCAACTAGAGCACCAACTAAGGCTCCAACAACTGATAGTCCAACGAAGTCTCCTACCAGAAGTCCAACCAAAGCACCAACCAAGGCGCCGACAAAGACTCCAACAAAGAGTCCAACAAAAGCACCAACGAAGGCTCCAACCCCTGCACCAACTGCTGCACCTTTTGCGCAAACTGTACTTCTTGGTGCAGCATTGGGAGGTGCAGCCGACTTTAGTGATCCAGAAAGTTACCAGTCACGTGCCTTGGCTCGAACCCTGGAGCAAGAGGGCATTAACGATCAATCAGAAGCAAAGATCATTCAGTACTATGCTCTATTCTCGATTTATTTTTCCACGAATGGTGTCGCAAATGCCGTCACGGATCAAGATAGTCGATTCGACAACTTGGTTTCTTTCCCACAGTGGACCAGTCAAAATGGATGGACAGAGAACAACGTAGATCCATGCAACTATTACGGAATCATTTGTTTTTCCGACCAGGTCGTTTTGATTGATCTTTCATCCAACCGACTGACTGGGGTTTTCCCACCAGAAGTGAAACTACTGGCTTCAGATGGTGCCTTTTCTACTGGCGCGGGTGGTTTGATTGCGCTAGATCTATCCAACAACGAATTCGTTTTCAACAACTTCGATACCTCGTGGCTTAGTGATTTGGGAACTGCTATGGGTAAGAATGATATCACCGTGGTACACGTTGGATTGCTGTTTAGCTGTTTCTCAAAATTTACCTGTTTCGTTTCAAACAGAATCAGTCGATTTCACTGTGACATCCTTCGCAGGCAATTTCCCCAGATTTCCAACCGGGTTGTTCGAGATCATCATCAACTTTACTCTATACGACGGTGGTCTCACAAATGCTAATTTTGCTGGTCTCAATAACCTTAACTATCTTGAAATCAGTGGAAACTCCTTCAACCAGCCCATGCCAACTGTCTTGAATCAACTCAACTCCTTGGAACAAATCTTTGTCGAGGATTCTGCTATCACAGGAGGCCTTGATTTTATGGTAGGAATGCCCCTAATCTTCCAAGTTTGGATTGACAAGAATCCTGCGTTCGGAGGAACCATCCCGTCGGAGATTGGTGATTTGAACACACTTGCATCTTGGTCCATCACAGAGAACAACTTCAGTGGGACAATACCGACTGAGCTCGGGAAGCTTACAAACATGCAGCGACTGTGGATGTACGGTAACAATCTTACCGGGAATATTCCCAGTGAGTTTGGAACAATCATCAAGCTTGAACTTCTGAGGCTCGAAGGCAATGCATTCACTGGAAACATGCCCGACGAAGTGTGCAATTTGCGGAACGACTTTCTTTCTTCCCTCTCGCTTTTGGGAAGTGTTTGCGGCGGCGCTGGGAATCCACAGTGTACCTGCTGTGACTGCTGCGATGTTGCATCGTGTGATGCCTTGTAGGCAGTGCTTTGATGTCAGAAAAAAAAGGAATTCAACAATAATTTGTACACTAGTGAAAGATGTTCTAAAACAATTCTTCATTGAATGAAGAATCACAAATCAGTGAAGTTACAAAAGTCTCTTTCAGGTGGTTTTGCACAGCATTCATGGAGAATGACTTCTCTGCAGCCATACAAAAATCAGGACGAGACTTCTCTATGTCCAACCGTAGGTAGAGCAACGGAAGGGCAAAATAAGTCATGTGATAAGCTACTACGCGTGTTAGACAAGCTAGTACGCGTGTTAGACAATTTCTCTCGACCATTACGCCTCCATCCACTCAAGCTGATAGCATTATACTAGAGTACAGTGATAACACAAACAAGCCGAGGAAGAACCAAGTTTGCCATGCTTTGATGAATGCCTCGCGATCGTGAAAAAGAGTGAACGGCCAAGGGCATTTCATGCGCTCCTTCTCCTTGGCGTTATTTTGCTTTGCAATGAAGGGGCATTCATCGACCGTCGAAACTTTCGATTGGGCTTCCGTTTCCAACAAGGAATACTGCATTTTATATACTTGGTCAAGTGGGCGAATAAATGCGCCAGGAACACCTCCCACTACATCCAATTCTTCAAACAATCGCATATTGAGTAGAAACGCTACATTGGCTTCTACCACGCGTTCGTGGATTTGATCTTTCTCTAGAGACAAATTGCACGATATTTATCTTTGAAAAGCTTGAAGCTTTTCACTTGAGGAAAGTGATAAAATGCCAAACCATCGTCATCCACCAGAAGCAGAGCTCTCTTGGCAACTCGAGCTAGAACTTTGCCTCCACTCAAGTCTCCAAGGTGACGAGTGTAGGCATGTGCAAGAAGCAGTAACGGCTTATTTTCGCTTAGGTGCTCGATGCGGTCAATGTAGTCTCGCGTCGCTGGACTAATCGTTGGTGTGTTTGTATGCCAAAATTCAACGTCCTCTTGCAGGGCGGCTCTACGGTGCAGCTCATTGGAAAAATGGCAGGAGTTAAAAAGTGCTGGTGCATGCCGATCAAGAGCTATTTCTAGGCTTCCGTAAAGATGGTACAGCTGTGCAATCATCAAACCATATAGTTCCCTGTCAATCTTTCCTCTAACGAACTGCTTCACGAATTGTACACCCTCGGCAGCCTGGTGGGAATTAGCCGTCCCAGTCTTCAAAGCATCAGACAAGGAAGGCCTAGATGGGTACTTGTCAGTATCCCTTACTTCAGAAGGTATAGGGGACAATGTTGAAGAATCGGTAGCAGCTGAGGTTTCTGCGTTTCCTTCCGAGTCAACAGAGCGAAAATCCTCCTGCTCGATCGCCAGCGCCATCTCTGCCATGATTGATATGAGCGACAGTTCTTCCACCGTTTGATGAAATGACCACTCCTCTGGAACAGAAACCTGCCCACGAACAGGACATTTGTTGCCTGATGGATTTTCTTTCGATTCATGAAAAAACTTGAGGGAATTGTAGAGCGGTCCATCTTTTGCCATGTGGCCGAGAGGGATTCGCTTCAGCTGATGTCTGAAGTCTTGCGGGTTAGAAGCAGATTTAAAAGGACATTCTTCGGAAAAGACTGGGCACTGTCGAAGCTCTAGGAGACCAGGAAGGGAAGAAGAAACTTCGGATTCGTGAATTGCTTTGGCGTATCGACAAGAGGAGTTTGAAAAAGACCCGTCTTCGTCCTTTTCTATCTGTAACGGGGTGGATATCTGAGGCATGTTGCTCATGGCTGTAGTGGAGGTAGTTTACGCTTCGAAACTGGCTGGATGCAATTGCGTAGCAATGAGGAATTCTACACTACAATTTGAAATTGAATGAATCGAGGTGGTTATTATATCATGTCGTGATGGTGTTTGACTGATTGATTCATTCGATTGACCCATCAGCTTTCATAGCCAACGAATTTCAAACTCGCCATTATTGCGATCACAAAAAAATGGACCGACAAAGATTACTCCTGTTGTCCCTATTGCTGTCAACAAGCAGTGCTTTTCTCTCGAAATCACGAACATCACCAAGGAATATAGGATATCCCTTGTTTTTAAGCGACGATCTATCGTTTGCAGACTTGGGCCTAAGCCCGGAGGTTCTGAGCTGTGTTGCATCCCAATCGGACTGGAGGACACCCACCGAACCTCAAATATTAGCTATACCAAAACTTCTGGAAGTTGGAACCTCAAGTGAGCATGTTATTATGGTAGAAGCACCTACTGGATCTGGAAAAACAGCGACATACGCGCTCCCGCTTCTTGAGAGTTTCCAACGAGGATCACAAGATGGGCGGATTGCCGCGTTGATTCTGTGCCCCACACGTGAGCTAGCAGCTCAAATTGGATCAGTGATTAAAAATCTTGCAAATAATGTGGCGAGCAAGAAGCAGATGCGTAAAACTGTCATGGTTCTGCACGGTGGTATTCCCCTCCAGCCTCAAATCCAGAGCCTTGCAGACTGCGCTCGTAATGAAGAAACTATTGACTTTTTGGTGGCGACTCCTGGCAGATTAGTTGACGTTCTTACTTATTATCAGAAAGGAGCTGGGGATTCAAGTGCGAGAGATGCGGCGTTCGAAAGGCGTGTACTAGATGCTCTTGACCAGCAAGGAAAACAAGATGTTACACTCTCGAAGGATCAGCTAGAAATGCTGGGTCTAAATGACTTTCAAGAAGATGATGGGCGGGCAGCTTTGGTAAACTTACTCAGTGACTTGAAACTATTGGTATTGGACGAGGCTGATAGGTTACTTTCGCGACAATTCGAGCCAGAATTCAGGGCGGTTCTTGATTTATTGCCGAAGAGCATTCCGATGTGGATGTTTTCAGCCACTTTTCCAAAGTTTTTGGAGCCAAGGATGAACCACATTGTTTCGGAGATTGGGGCTAAGCATGTACTGAAAATTAAATGCTCTAACGTAGATCGATTGCCACATGAGCAGGAAGTGAGCTCGTCGTTGAAGCGAAAGTTGGAACGCAGCTCCACATCTGCCGAAACAGAAACAATGCAAAAGACTGGATCTGCATCCACTATCTCGTTGCGTGCCATTCGATTGGATAAAAAGGATCGCACTCAAGCTTTGCTGAGTCTTCTTGAAGATCATCCTGAGTGGGATCGCGTGTTGGTGTTTGTTGCAACAAGGTATGCATCCGAGCACGTCAGTCGTAAACTACGTCGAGGGGGCTTGTTTTCCAGTGAGTTGCATGGGAAGCTAGATCAACAGGCAAGAGAGCGGCGACTAAACGACCTTAAAAAAGGCAAAATTCGAGTATTGCTGGCAACTGACGTAGCAAGTCGCGGTTTGGATGTATCAGGACTTCCTGTAATTTTCAACTATGACCTACCTCGTTCTACAGCTGACTTTGTTCACCGCGTCGGGCGGACTGGAAGGGCAGGAAAGACTGGGACCGCTGTTTCCTTCGTGACGGCCTCTAGCGAAGAGCACATGGAATTGATTGAAAAGCGGCATTTGAACCAACATATCGAGCGAGAAACTCTTCCAAGATTCCAGCCTGACGAAGAAAAATGGATGGTCGAGGTTGAAGGATCTAGAACTGGTTTACCTGGAGTTCAACACAGCGAAAAGGGATTGGCACATGACCGAATGTTCGGAGGTATTAAAGGACGGCGAAAATCCAAGAAGGATAAACTGCGTGAAGCAGCTGCAACGAAGGAAAGCAAAGAAACGAAAAAAGGAACTTGAGTTTAAAAAATTTCAAATTTGTCCAGATAGATCTTTGTGGCGAAGGACAGAAATACCGGTAGTCTGAAGACGACATAAAAAGGGGTAATGATCTGTTTCATGTTGATGTCATTTGTTTGCTTTTTATCATCACTTTGCGGACCCTCTTGCACCAGTATAGTACAATTTTAGTATCTACATGGCCATGTGGAGATGAAATATTACAACAGGTAAGTTGCGATACTTGATCTGCAAGACGGGGTAACTTTTTGAAATAGGTGACATGCGGACAGGCGGTGTCACGGATTTCAGCGGGATCTTCTGTCGATTCCCGCTTGAACTCCTTGTCCAGCCGTTAAATTCTAGCGATGATATTTGCAACAATAGACCTCGCGAGCAAACACTCGCCAGTTTATCCGGCGCTGGCCAACGGAGGAATGATCGCAAGTCGAGTCCACATGTAGCCTTTGTTGCCACACTAGCTTCCGATTCAGAAATAGAGATCCTGTTTCTGAACGGTTCAGAAATAGAACTCCCATTTCTGAACCATTCAGAAACCAGCTTCCGATTCAGAAACCAGCTTCCGATTCAGAAACATCTACCCCAAGTCTTCCCCAAATATAACCTATCTCTAGTTCTTTGACCATGAGAATCGAAATTTCCGAAGAAGCCTTCTCTTCCAGTTCAGATCTGATTTCACTCACAATCCGAACAAAAAACTACGAACTGATGGCGGATAGCACTATGAACTAACAAAATAGCAATAAAATAGTAATACTGATGCATGGGTTACTATGGTATTCGATAGATCAATATCGATACAGGAGCTGACTACCTAGCCACAGAAGCTCCTGTAGGGGCAAAGCTATTGTACAATATTCATCTTTCACTTCTGACTGTCGGCTCAACCACTCCCCCAATTTCATTCCCCCCCCTGTCCAAGAATGTACGTGTTTTGCCTCATTAGCTTCCGATTCAGAAATGGAAATTCTATTTCTGAACGGTTCAGAAATGGAATTTCCATTTCTGAACCGTTCAGAAATAGAAATACACATTCGTGGATTCCAGATTCCACATCCGTTTTGTTCACCAGGTGTCGAGGATGTAGTGCTCGCACAGCCACTTTGAATCGTGTGCAAATTTGTGTCGAGCTTTTCTCTTTCCATGCAGGTGACACGACCGTTATTTTTTATCGCAATTGTGTTAGGCATTATGAAACCCGCTTGAGAAGCGGCAACCCCCGTCTGTCCCCTGCCCCTATTTCGGAAAATTACCCCGTCTTGCTGGCGTCAGCCATTACTACCAGGTACTCCGCACGAGCGGCTCCAACAATTTACGTAGGCTTCACGATTCTGTCCTACGTGGAATCTTTGCGGAATACTTTAAAAAATATTATTTAGCCACAAATGGACAATGATTTCGCCGAAATTACAGTTTTTAATGTACAAATCTCGCAGTCTACCCTGTGGTTTTTTGAACGTGTGTTTGGCAGGAAGCCTCGTAGAATAGACAGCGCATTTGAAATTTGTCCCAACAGTAAACCTCACAACTAATCAGTTAAAAGTTTCACTATAGATGCTTTGCTTGCATTCTGGCTGGTGCAGTTATCAATATTTTATGGTTGGGGAAGTCTTTGCTGGCTAATGAAATACTGGGTAAAAAATGAAAAATCAAGATTTCCAATAGTCGCTGAAAATTGATCAAGAAACAATCAACCTGTAAACCCACATATAGAAGCTTCATGAGTTTCATCATGTCATGGTACACTTGCATGACCCCCCACTGGCCGATCCATGATACATAGCCGGCAGCTAGATGATGCAAAAGTCGTATATGTGACAACAGCGTCCTCTTCCTTTTTTGTACTGTAACCATATGAAAATATAGTTATTTCTCTCCCTTGTCATCATGGATATCGTTTTCGCTATTATTCTTGTTGCAATTTTGCAGCATCATTGGCTACAAAGGGTTGGAATGCAGCAAACATTGATGATGATTTTGTGCAGGCAAGACGGTAGGACGAACTGGCAAGAGAATGACGCCAGGTCCGCATAGTCAACTGCACGTGAGCGCGTCGCAGCGATGGAAGAGGTGCGTGGCGGTAAGTGCGGAGTCAGACGACAGCTAGGACCCAATCTTGGAGTGAGTGTGTTTCACGATCGACACGAGGCATTCTTTTGCAAGAGCTCGATACGACGATGATGACAGGGAATCCAAACCCCATGTCAGAGTCTTTTGAGTTTTGAGTTTCTTGTTTTCACACCAAATTGTTGTATTTAGCACAACGTGATCGTCCCCTTTTCATATGATCCAAGTCGTGGTTATCACCAACGCAAAAATTGTTGTATTTAGCACAACGTGATCGTCTTTTCCATACGATCCAAGTCGTGGTTATCACCAACGCAAAATCGTTGTATTTAGCACAACATGGTCGTCCTTTTACGATCCAAAGTCGTGGTTATCACCAACGCAAAAATCGTTGTATTTAGCACAACGTGATCGTCTTTTTCATACGATCCAAGTCGTGGTTATCACCAACGCAAAAATCGTTGTATTTAGCACAACGTGATGGTATTTTTACGATCCAAAGTCGTGGTTATCACCAACGCAAAAATCGTTATATTTAGCACAGCGTTGCAAGCTTGACTCTTGTATTACTGGACAACGAGTTTTCTTTTCTCTGGATACTGTTAGCTCTTTCTATTTTACGCAACTATCCCTATCAGTGCCGCTTGCACACCGTAACAGCGTATGCAGCCTCTGTTTGTTCTTTCTTTTCATACAAGCATTACATTTTGCTGTTTTTGTTGGTGAAATGGGATCTTAACAAATAAAAGAACAGTCGAACATGTCGGACAGT